ACGAAAGGCACATAAACACACACACACACACACACACACACACAAACACACACACATACACCACACACACATTCGCCTTACCTTCTTCATGTAGAAGAGCAGCAGAAGCTTGATGAGTTGAACAGCAGGCAGCAGGGGGGCATACAACACTCCCAGCCTGGGGGGGGGGAGAGGGCCCCAATCACAGTCACCAAACCAGCAGCAGAGCAGCCCAGTACACCCTACGCAAAGCTCTCAGCACATGAGAAACCGCAGCCAAATGGGCAGTAATCTACCCTTCCTGTTTGTGAAAGGGCCATTTTCCTGTTTACTATCACTCAGTAGTGAGATTAAAGCAGAGTCGGTCACTGCCGCAAAAGGCCTCCCCTAATGACTTCACTTCCCCTTCCCGGCGAAGGTGGGTCTTAGTGGAGTGGCGGTCTTTACCAGGCGAGCGTCTGTCCATAGATAAGCTCCAGAACATTCCGAGCGATGTCAAACACGGGCTTCCTCTTCCTCTTCAGAGCCTTCTGGGAGAAAATCCTACAAGAGTCCAGAAGACAGAGATGGGGGCGTGGTCTCAAGAAGCAGAGGGTGGTCTGGATGAGGCAGGGGGGAGGAGCTTGAGATGAGCCACACCACACTCACTTCCAGAGGAATTCCAGAAAGAAGGTGTCCAGCATGGTGAAGATGAAGTCCATGATGAGAAAGCGATACATCTCCTGGCCCACAAAGCTCTCCCAGCACTGTGGGGGGGGGATACAGAGCTGAAAGTGGGCACGCCACACCGGCCCGGAACACGGTCATGTGATCTAGCGGCATACCTTCAGTTTTAGCTCTTTCGGACCAGCGGCGATCCGGCCCAGCCAATGGTAGCACAGTACCACCAGGAGGCACACTTTCAGCATGAGGTTCCTGTTGGGAACGGGGGACGGGACAGGGGAAGAGACAGGGCAGCAGATGGGTCAGTCACCCCGGGGCGGAAGCTGGTTACCATGACAGCAGAGTCACATTGGATGACGACATCACTTCCAGTATAGTGGGCGACTCGTAACTCACACCACAACTTCTCAGAACTTGCTGACGTCTCTGAGCAAAGTACTCGGGTAAAACATCCAGCTCTAGGAACAGTGACTAATGCATGTCTTTTAGATAAAGACATCCCTCAGATAGGGGGCGCTGCTCGATTCCTGATTTAATAAAAGCCAAGCTTTCTGCCTCTGTAAACCAGGCTCTGGGGGACGAGGTCCATCACTGTCATTAACGCTGTGATTGTGTGCCTGCGATAAGTCAGCCGAATTATACAATAGCCTACTTACAAAAAAAATAAGCATTTTAATTTTCTTCAAAGCTTCAGTTGTAATCTGAATACTCCTCCTTATATAGTCTATGTAACCGGTTTATCTGTATTGTGTGATTTTTCTATTACACCCTCTGACAGATAATATAATATATAATTGTGTAAATATACTCATTAAACAAAATAACCTGGTTACATATATATAGTAACAAATTATAAAGTAAAACATATTTGCGAAATCACCGCCCGTTTCCCACACCAACGAACGTCAAACTCTAACCTCCAAGCGAGACGTACTTCTGCCCTAACCCTAACCCTAACCCTAAACCAAAAAGCCGTAATGTTCCTAATAGAGTGGCTGCTCTGTCCTGAAATTGCAGTTTTCAAACGCAGTATTTAATAACATGTCGGATAAATAGACGTAGTTTATTGGTGACTTCATGTTTGTCAAAGTTTACATAATTTAACAACTGTATAAAGTTTTTTTATACAAATGAAAAGGAAAAAAAAAAACATTTTTAGGGTTTATTAACTCTCTCGCATCTGCTGTGACACACGCTCACGCAAGAAATCTTACAGCAAATCTATATTATTCCATCATAAAAATTTAATTAGCGACATCAAGATCATTGGGGCAGTTTGCAGACCCTAAAAACTATTTACAAGGTAATAGAACTGCCACATACGTGTAAATGCCTGTGCACTCGTCTCGGATTGAAACCTCCCCCAGACAGCTGACCAAAGTTCGCTACCCTGTGTTTTATTATTTGAATGAAGCGTAAAATGCAGTGTTTTCAGCTCAGGCGGCTTGTCATTCCCTTTGCAATGTTACTCCGACAAATATAAATCAAATATGAGAAAACAAGCATCACCTGTCACTTTTTGAACACTTTTCTAAATAAAACCACCCAAATGTAAATAAAATAAAATGTACTTAGCATATTATAAAATATTTATTTTAATTTATATAAACCCGGCGAGGAGAGGGAAATGTGCAGGATCTGTGGCTAAACACCAGTTTGCACACTTGGGATCCGAACCAGCAACATGCGCCAATGACACTTACAGGTCAGGGAGCAAAATACTTACGACACACGCTGAACGCAAGGTGGCGAATTAGCGGGCGGTGCTACAGTGGGGCAGGACGTACCTGACGATGGAGACGTAGGTGAGCACGCTGGGCGAGTCATACTGCTCCATCCAGGCCACGGTGTTGAAGAAGCCAGGCAGCAGAAGGTTGAAGCTGGACACGACCACAGGCAGCGCCAGCAAGCTGACCTCCTCCAGTGGGCCGCGAGAGCCCAGCTCCTGGGGGCCATGATCTGCCACCCACTTCTGCAGGTCCCAGGGGGTGGGGGGGCAAGGACAGGCAACCAAGTCAATGACTGACAGCTCTCATAATGATTCAGAAACTGGATATGCGATTTAAAGGATGTTAGCTAAGGGCCGGCTGTTGGACCCTTGAGGGAGATGTATCGGTTGAGCAGCTAAATGCAAGGGAGGCTAACAGCGCTTAAGGAATGGACACTTTTGGCCAAGTCTTGGCATCATGATGTGTGAAAATTTTTGGGCTAAGCCCTGGAAAGTGACCCCAGAACCGCCCGTTTGTCCATAACTGTAAATCAGACCGCTCTGCAATATCAGCCAGAGGAAATGGAAGGACAACTGGTAGGGATGGGTTTCCAGAACGTTGTGTCTGATCTCCTATCACCGTCAAATCTAAACAAGAGATGAGGCTCTAAAGGCCGTAATAGAAGGCGTGCAGGTATTTGCGTGCCGCATACCCAAAGGCGCGCGGGTATTTGCATGCCGCATACCCAAAGGCGCGCGGGTATTTGCATGCCGGATGCTTCACACAGAGCAGCAAGCCTCATCTCATCATTGCTATAGAGACCAGGTCTGGCCACCCTAGTACCGCCTACTACCTGAACACGGAGCTTTGCTGGTGCTCAGCTTTAACGTGGTTAGGATGTTATGCCTGTTATCGGGAAGGTTGCAGGTTCAAATGCCAGCAGAGTGATGTCACCATTCGGCTCTTGTGTGAGACCCTTAACCCCCAATGGCTCCAGGGACTGTCTGACCTGCTTTTTAAATAAGACTGCCTGCTAAATAAATAAATGAATGTGAATGCAATGTCGTCTTCTCCCATATCAGTCTTTAGAAAATAAAAGCTCAACTTGCAATTTAACCCGACACACAGCTGAAATTTCTCTCTAACATGCAGACAGACAGACATACACACACACAGGCAGACAGGCAGCCCCACCTTGTGCAGGTACTCTGAGAAGTAGTAGACAGCCAGGCCGCAGGCCACGGTGCTGCCGATGCACATGAGCCAGGCCAGCAGGTGCACGAGGTGTCGAGCCAGCCTCTGGGCCAGACCCCGACGCTCCTCGCGACAGCTCAGCTCCGACAGCAGCTCCTGGAGGAAGGACCACCAGCCAGGAAGGATGGGCGAGGCGTGGGCGGCAGGAAAGAGGATGTGGGCAGTTTTAGCAAGATTTACGATGTAACCTCGCGCCCCTTACGCAAACACGCGGGGACGGAGGGGGGCTTGGGCAGGAACATGGGGTCTCAGGACAGTGGCAGGGTACCAAAACTCAGCGGTCTAAGCCCGTGCATGCGATGAGGTCGCTAGTTCGAGCCCCGGCTTCGGCAGAACAGTCACATGTCCATGGGCACTTGAGCAAAGGCCCTTAACCCCCAGCTGCAGAGTTGCTGTACGTTAGCTGACCCTGTGCTGTGACCCTCAAGCTATGGAAAGCAAGATGGCATCGGCGACAATAATCATTCCAATGTACCTGTACAACTGGCAAATAAAGTATGTTTGTTTTGTTTGTTTAAGGAACAGACAAGTCAGAGATGGGAAGCAGGTTCGAGCCCTTTCAAAAAACACGTTAACCCCGCCCTGTTAGACGGGATCTGTTAGGATGGGGGGGGGGGGTAAGAGCGGCAGGGTACCAGACAGGTGCCTCGGATTCACCTTGAAATGGGAAGAAGTCTGACAACTTTCCTTTTCTGTTCAACTAGAACATATTATGTCTAGCTGAATCTGTTACATTTACATCCAGAAACGTAGGCACCTATACAACTAAATGTTCGTTTCAGTACTGATTCTCTGTCACGTGTTTGTTGTCTACTTCTACTTTTTCCTTTTGTTGTATTTATCGTCCTTTGTTGTATTTCCTCTCTGTATTACTGGACAAGGAAAACTTTCACAAAAAGCCCACCTACAAAACACTCATCACCCCTCCACTCACTGACCTGCTGTTACACATAACACACATCTGTTGTTTTTGCTACAGATGACACACGGGGGGGGGCACAGGCAACAGAAACATAATGAAAACTCCCAAGTGAGTGAGCGGACAAACAAGCAAACAAAAACAAGCTAGCAAACAAACAAATGAACGAGTAAGCGAACGAATGGGGAGATACCTTGAGCTGTGTGCTGATGTTCTCAGCCTGCAGCTTCATGGAGGTCTTCTTGATGACCCTGAAGTCCCAGGAGCAGAAGACCTTGAGGGCCAGGCTGCCCTGAGGTTTGTCCACACGGAAACTCTGCCCAAACGATTTGGACATACTGTAAACGAGGATGATGCAGGTGATGAAGAAGGCAATACCGACGGTGAAGAAGTAGGCCAGCGGCATGTTGTAGTCCAGGCCAAAGGTTTCGGGGGGGCACTGAAGCAGACTCGGGGGCTCTGTGCTGTTCTGCTGGCAGCTTCCCATTAGTGCAGAGTTGGTGTAGTAACCATAATACATCACAGAGTTGGAAAAGCATCCCTAGGATAGCAGAGAGGGGGTGGGGGAGGCTGTTACGGTCTCACAGAAGCTCATTAAAGCCTACCTTAGCTGGTCCAGTGGAGCCTTGATTCTTAACCTGATACACTAACACTGTATGGTACATCTCACCCTAGGACACTGCCAATCAAATCTCGGTGTGTAGATCTACAAGTTAGGACTCTAACCTCATGATCAGAAGGCTGTTGGTTCATATCCCATGCCTAGCACCACTGGGCCCTTAACATTTAATGCTACAGGGATAGGCCAACCTAGAAACATCCAAGATACTGTAAGTGAAAATCTTCCAAAAGACATTGCAAAACAGTCATGTGTACTAGAGATTCGCATTATATCTGCAAGCACTAAACTGTCCTGTACCAAGTGTACTGCAGAGATTCTCTGTCCTTAGGACTACAATCTGCGAGTAAACAATACACTTACAGCTCCGGTGACGAGCTCCAGGCCTGTGAATTTCACGGGGGTGCTGGTGAGGGGTGGGGGGTGAACTGCCTGTGGGATGACTAGGAAGAAGCCATTGATGAAGAGGAGCAGGACATTGAACAGCAGCAGGGTCCGGAGGAAGACAAAGTAGGATAGCACGCCCGTGCCAAAGCGGCCGCTCACACGCTTCAATGCCATCTTCCACGGCTGCAGGGAGTGCAGCATGGAGAGCCAGCTGTACCAGCCCTGCCGCAGTGCCTGGGAAAGAGAGGGACGGTCACTGGAGCACTGCATCACTGGACCAGGAAGGAGAGAGACGGTCACAGGAGCACTGCATCACTGGACCGGAACGGTCACAGGAGCACTGTACCACTGGACCGGGAGGGAAAGGGACAGTCATAGGAGCACTGTACCGCTGGACCGGAACGGTCACAGGAGCACTGTACCGCTGGACCGGGACGGTCACAGAAGCACTGCACCACTGGACCGGGACGGTCACAGAAGCACTGCACCACTGGACCGGGAGGGAAAGGGACAGTCACAGGAGCACTGTATTACTGGACCGGGAGGAAGAATTGGGGACTGTGACAGTGAGAATTGACCAAGGACAAAAAGCCACGTGGAAGGGGTTGAGGTGGCAACACTGTCGGTCACAATCACAGTCACACAGAAGGTCACACATTATCGTGGGAGGGACAGGAAGAAAGTCACCCGGTCATTGTCTCATTTATTCACAGTGATGTGCCCTATTTATATGTGTGAAGACAGAAAGTTGGTCACATGCTGGCAGTCACACAAGCATTAAATGGGTCTAAGGTTCAGACTTCACATATTAACCCATATTTAGACATTGCTGCCCAAAGCACGCAGAAGCGAAACAACCAGAGATCCCTTCAGAGGCACCATAAAGATCCCGTAGCTGTTAGCGATTAGCGGCTAACCCAGTGGGGCCACCCAGACGGACAGCAGCCAGTGAGAGCGAGGGGCTGTTTCTCAAGGCAGTGGGAAGGGGGAGAGAGAAGCATGCTGGCTGGGAAACTCACAATGATGATGTAATACTTGAGGTTGCTGCAGCAGGGAATCTTTCCGCTGAGGGATGTCTGTCCCTCCTTGTAACTTAACGCTAGCCTCCTGTGGAGAACCACATGACAAGAACCTGGCATTACCCAGAACCGAGCGAGGTCACCTTATCAAACATCAAACAAAGGCTGAAAAGGCTGGAATCCAGGCCCCCATCCCGGCATCACAGCCAGCACCTTTTCAGCTCCACTCCTTAATCACTACGCCCCCTGCTGATCTAAGAACAAACTGCACAACCATGAATTTCTTGACATGTATTTCAGGGGCATCAGCATCAAACTATTTTGCGTGTTTATTTTCTTTTTACATCAAGATTTTGGTCTATCATTTAGCGCATCAAGTCTTAAAGGGACTTCCTGGAAAATCCCTCTCAAAAAACATTTCAACACACAACTGGCAGATGTGACTGGCTGTCTGGCCCTAAGCATCCACATCACCAGCATACATAGGGAGAGTGGGCAGGGCCAGGCGGGTCCAGGCAGGGCCTACCTCAGCTCGCTCTTCTCTGCGAGGCTAATCGGCATGGCCCGCAGCATGCGCACGCGGTCGCTGGCCGGAAGGTTCTGCAGGTTGTTCACCAGCTGGTCCCTCCTGTTCTCTGCAAGACCAATGTCAGAGCAGCACCCTGAAGCTGTGACTGACAGAGGGAAATCAAACCCCCGGCAGAAAGGGCCCGTCTGAAGCGCAGTGTGATTATCCAGTATCGGCCCCACACTGCATCGTGTCACTGGACTTTACCTCGTCAGTCATTAACAGAGGAGAGGAATACACTCGTTTTTTCCCCCCCTTCACATTATTTCATATTACTCTCCATTTTGAGACTGGAGAGAGACAGATGCACCTGATCCGGTCGCAGTCGATGACGCGCAAGCCTAGTGGCTGGCCGTACGAATGCGCAGCCCGGTGAGGGCCGGACTCACCGTCTGCGGAGTCAGTCTCTATGCGGTAGCCGCGGATGCTGGGCCGCGCCGCGTGGGAGAAGTCCTGCAGGGCGGGCCGGGTGGAGCGGCGCCTGCGCAGCTGAAGGGTGCGGTTGTAGTACTGCGATAGGATGGCCCCCCGACTCCGGCCTGCAGAGGGTGCCATAGCAACCAAACAAAACAAAGAGGCAGGAAATCTTACAGCACAGTCTGCGACAGCCGGCCCAGCTTCCCGGGAAGACGTTCCCAGAGACGATCCCTGCCGTAGGGTTCCATCGGTCAGTCACGTCATGACCCCTCGCCGTTCACTCACCGATGGTTCGGCTCGGCATGGCCGACAGCACCTTGAGAGTGGCGGCGGACCACGGCTGCTCCAGCAGCGGTGCCGACGGGCCCGGCAGGTAGCCCACAGCATCTGCGGGAGACGTGATCATGGTCAGGTGACCAGCAGTCGTCAGCATCGGATGCTACTGAGCTCTAACCCGAGTCAGTATGCAAGAGATGGAGGACAGCAGCCCCGTGACTCACCCCGGCCCTCCTCCGCCAGCTCCTCCTCCGCCAGCTCCTTCTCAAACTCCAGCTCCTCTAACTCCAGCTCCTGTGTCTGCTGCTCCTCTAGGTGGCTCTGCTCATTGATCAGCTGGCAGAAGGAGGAGTGCACCTGGTTCTCGTCCACCGGGCTCCTGGGGACCCAGGGGTAATGACAATGAGCATTTCCCCACATACGCTCCGCCAAGAAATGCTGCTCTGTGACGTGTGAGCCAGTGTGCAGTTCTGCAGGTTTGGGGGTCTCTACCAGTGTGCAAAAGGTTGTGGGTTCAAACCTCGTGGCTGGCTGAGAAAATTATGCACATGCTGTTTGCATATTGCATGCTGTGTCCTGTCTTGTGTTTTTTTTTTTTGCGCTGCTAAGGGAGTTACCAGCTCAATCCGGCTGTGCTGACATGTACAATGACAACAGTAAAGACTGAACTGTAATCACCGTTGGGGTCTAATCCCCAACTGCTCCAGGGGCTCTGGACGCTGATCAGCCCTGCTCTCTGATCCCAATTCCTTCCTCATTTGTACCTCTGTTTGGGTAAAAGTGTCGGCTAATCTTATTTCATACTTATTTAAAAGTGCAGATACCACACCAAAATGCTACTCAAGTAAGTCATCAGAAAGCATGGACTGTCTCGAGTGGGACGAAGGTGGCGTGGAAGCGGGGCAACGGCGGAGATCCCGACTCACTCCAGCATGGGATCCAGGAGGTCAAAGCTCACAGCATGGGCCATATCGCCGCTGCTCTGTGGAGACGCTTCAGGGGGTGCCGTCCGTGCCTCTGCTGCCAGTCATGCTGTAGAGAGATGCCGTGTTTACAGAGGAGAACGGGGCCAAACTCTGCCAAGCCATGCCCCACCCCCCACCTGCTGTGACTCGTCCCAAGTGTTATCCAGCTGGATCCTTGAGAGCTTGCGCAGGCAGACAGCACTACCGGGTGTGCGAGTCTCCTACTCAGCCTTGTAATCATGCCCTTCAGACACACGAAAATGACCACAAATTTGTAATCGCTCGCTTATCTGAAAGGAATAAACAGAAAAAAAACACACAGCTGGTGCTGGACCTAAGTGTCGCTAACGAACCACCTCAGTCAACCGACATCCTGACAAGTGAGTAAAGAAAATAGACACTTTACTGGCTTGCAAAAAAATTTAAAAAAATCAGCTGATTGGAGTGGTTCGGACAGCACAATCAACCCTCTTAGAGACAAAGCACGGAAAAAAGCCAACCCACTGGGAGAAAGAGGCAATTGTGCATCCCAAAATGACTTCACTGCCTGGCCATCACTAACTGGAAAAAAGATGGCCAACCAGTTTCCCTGCACTCATAACGAAATATCCACCGCTGCCGGCCCCAGCGAGGTAATGCCACATGGTTATCCAGTGTCCTTAGAGGCACAAAATCTTTGAGGTTGCAGTCGATACCGGCAACCGCAAAGAGGCCGATGAAATGACACCTGAGACGTCTCCAAACCCCGCGGGAGCAGTGACAGTGCGACATGAGACCACAACAGGGGACACAAAGCCTCCATTATCCCACTGGCCAAAATATAGTCAGAACGCCTCCCCTCCCCGAAAAAACAAAAATGAAAAACAGACTGGAAAGGTAGTGAATATGTGCATTGGGGCGTGGATGAGGCACGCCTCTCCTGGAGAGACACCGAGCAGCCAAAGATCTCTGAAGATCTCCCAAGACCATCAACAACAGAACAACAACCCCCCCACTGATAATGGCAAGGTGCCAAAACCGCGATGGGGGGGGAACTACACCATAATGACGGGGCTGGAAGCAGGATGACGCAGTTTAGGGGACTGAACCACATGAGCCGGGGTCACAGATGCCTGTGAGGATGTAGGAAACTGTGAGCTGAACCCGAAATGCAGAGGGTGCGAGATGTGGACCAGAAGTGGCGCGAGGAGCCCAGCACTACATGCCGGTGTAATTATGGTGTGTANACAGAACAGCCAGCCCCACTGCTGGGTATTGGAATCAAATTGAAACCAGCCAGGCAGAAAAACCCCCTGCCCCGTATCATAAAACAACCGCCTCAATTCACACCACGCCAGCGTACCCACACAGACAAAAAAGTTTCCGTGCAGTTTTTCTGCACTATTCAGCAGTGACCGAGATCCCAAAAAATGAATTTTAGTTTAACGCACTTGTACTGCTGAGTATAAAAATGAATTTTACAGTGAGGATAAATCCCAACTCAAGGATATAACACCAGTGTTTATTCCCAAACTAAACTAAAACACTGTGGGCAAAGAATATCATTATTTTTAACCTTTCATAATATTTTATTTCAGTCATTGGTTTGCCAGACAGTTCATTTCATTTGGCCAGTAGGCACTGGACGGTAAGATCATCAAGGCTGAACAATACTTATCATTTAAAGAGCGAGACTTCAACCTCAGTTAGCTGCTGACGAAACGCTACGGAACAGAGGTTACGTTTACCAAAACTATGCGGGGCACTCAGCACCTCGATGACGGCTTGAATCTGCCCACCGGCCCACTTGTGCATTCATGTTCCCGTTCGGTTGTCATGACACCTCGATTCTCGTTGAAACTTGCTCTCGACTTACGAGGAGATGTGAAACTCGCAAGACGGCTGTCGAGGAAAGTCAGGTTTAACGCTCAGTGAGTGCCAAGACACAAGGGAAGAACAAACAACGTGTCCAGATTCAGGGGTTCACATCCAGACGTGGAACCAACATTTGCTAAGCCACCAGTATCCCATCGTGCTTAGAGCCATATATGAAAACATTCAACTCCTTGGCTGCCCTGGGTGACCGAGAGGCATGATTCCTGGGATGTGTCTGGCAGGAGCCGATGGGCCATTGCTATGGAAACTCAAAAGAAGGGCACCAGCATCCACACACCCCCCGACCAGCCTGAGGTGGCCCCAAATCATGGATGACAGCCATCCGGCTAGATGAGTCACCCTCCAGCCTGTTCCCAATAAACAGAAACAGTCCAAGTAAGAATTAGGCCTTCTGGTGTCACCACTTCCAAACTATACGCTTTTATCCAGGTGGGAGAGGAATCCTCAGCAATGATGCCGCCCCCTCAACCCGTTTATGCCGAAAGGCTCTGAAGCTATTTCGCTTGCATGTAAGAGCTCCATAAGCTAATACAGCTACACATCGGTACAAGCTTTTGTAATTACCGTAGTGTGCCTTTCAATTCCATTATCTTCGCTTTATGGCAAAGCGTCAAATACATGTGATTAAATCAGCGCACCAGAAGTACTTTCGGAACTCATGGGAACCATGGCGATCACCAGCAGATGCAATAATTTCAGCTTCTTCGGATCATCATCATCATCATAACACCGATCACGCTATGACTATGTCATATATCTTATGCAAATTTCAGGGATGATTTCAGCTATTATTTTTACGGGCGAAGCAAGGGAGCTGAGTGACGGTCTATAACATTCACATTGCCACAGGATCGCTCAAGTTAATGTTTAATTAAAAAGAGAAAAAAAATTAATTACGCGCCATATTGACCCAGAGAGCCGCTTCGGCACAGGTACTGCTCACCGTCCGGCGCGAGGATCCCACGCGCAAATACTCCTGCAAATTGTCATCAAGTGTTAACCAATTATAACATGTTTTAATTTTTTTACATGTACTGAATATCAGGGTGTATTGACTCTATAGGAGTTTCCGAAATCCCCAGGCGAGAAAACCACTCACCCCGGTCCGCGAAGAGAGACACCCACACCGAACGCCTACGGTGCTCCGCTCCACTCTGCACCGGGGCTTAGAGTTCGGAAAGCTGAACGACGGGAACAAACCATTGTGGCCCGTGGGGGAGCGGTTATAGCATGACCAGATCAATAGCGCCTGGATATTTAATTTTGAACAAGGCGGAAAGCTTGGTGGGCTTACTTGCATCAGCGACAGCATTCGAAAAGTCTTAGCGACGTTTCACAAAGGTTTCACCCCTACACACCATAATGAAGCGGACCGGGTCCCCTGTAAAAGTACTTTTTTGGATAATGGTACAGCCCTATTCATAGGGGCATATATTGTTTCAACAACCTTTTTTGTTCAAAGACGTTTCGCGTGATATATGTTATTAGAGAATATTCCCTCATGTGAAATGGCAAAGACAAGACAACGTGAAATATGCTGTGCAAGCGAAAACGGCCGAAATCGAATTTGGGCTTATCCCCCGTGTTAACCACAAAAGTAGTATACTGCTTTTACTATTCTTTAGTCAGCGGCCCAGTTACCTCAATCGGAGCTTCATTTTAGCATATCACATCTCGAATACACATTATGCAAATACACGTCGTGCTTATACAATAAAAGTACTTAATACGTTCATATTTTAGTTTTTGGGGTCAATTATTTGGATGCACGAATTATTTCATTAATTAAATTAATTTGAGTCGAATTTCAACATCTACGTCATGCGCTGCTTTTTATTTTTTTATTCCTCCTTCGTTCCTGTCCTTTGCTGTCATGTACTGTAGCTTGCTTTCTTTCATTTCTTTGTCTTCCCTCATCCCTGTTTTTGAACTATGCTTTACAAATGATGCAGGAATGCACCACAACACACCCATGTAAAGCGCCTTGGGGCGACTGTTGTGAAAGGCGCTACATAAAAATTAATTTAATTATACAACCTAAATATAAAAACATTTCCAGGAGTTTTTGGTCAGCAATAAATTCATTAAATCTGTATCAAAGGTGTAAAAGCTTAATAACTTATAAGCACGCAACCTAAGTCTAATACACAATGTAAAGGCACAATTAACATTTCCGTCTCGTTATAGGTATCTACTATAATCTAGACTTAAGGCTCTTTCGATGTTGTTATATTTACATACTGCACATACTACGTCGCCAATATAAGGCCGATGTGACGCTCTCACAAAAGTGAGCAGACAGTTGACAGGTTTGTTGAAGCACTGCTTTCGTAAATAGATCCGTTTAGTCTTCTGTGTTATGATGATGCCGAGCTGCCCCTCAGCCCCCCTCACACTCCCGGGTACCTGAGCACACCTCTGAGGACGTGCGCCCTCCACACTCCAGCCCTTATGCAAATACCGACACGGGGGGGCGCCTGCTTTCCTCCCTTCTGTCCAACACTAAAGACAAACGCGAAGCAAACAGGCCGCAAATCGCGGCACGAAGCTGACGTCCAGCAGGAGCAGGCAAACACGCCCAATCCGGCATGACGGAGGACCCACGTTTCATTCATGCCTCACTCTTACCTAATATTTACCTTCCATCCCCACACAATGAAGGCAACGTATAATTTCATTTTAGGATATATGGCAACTATTTACAACAAAGATATACGTCAACTAGGCAATTAACAACAACATTATATTATTAAAACAATAACAACAATAGCAATAATAATCAGGACATCAACACGCGACTTAGACCCCTAATTATTATTGTAAATAATATTTATAATAAATAGTTCATTCCACTGGCATTCACACTCTCCATGAAGACAGAGCTTCTTCACCCTAAGAAACCCCACCACCTGTTACAGAATCACCCGTGAACAAACGTAAAGCTCCAAACCGCCAGCTGTCACTGTACCGGCAGTCCGCAGGTCCTCCTAACTGCCTTCCCACGAAGGTGCAGGCCTGCCGGCCCCCGGTGTTCTCGGTGTTTCGGGACTAGCTCCCCGCCGCGCCGTCTGATCGGATGTCCTAACCCCGTCAAAGCGGCCACTTCGCTTTAAAATGACTAATTACCCCGCGCCTAAGCAAAGCTTATAGCAAAGTAATGTCGCAACTCCGGCAGTCTGGCGTGACTGGCGCTGTCTGACTGCAGATGCTCTGCCAGCGGTGACTGTTCTTTCCGTCACAATTTGCTTCTCCTTTGCCGTTTCGAAACGCCAGGTGCTCGCGATTAACCAGCCTGAACCCGGACCTGCTTATGCGCGATCGCCGCGATGCTGCTCAGTCTTTTTCAGCTGAATGTTAATGAAGATGAAACTGATCGCACGCACATCAAACCCAAGCATCTGCAATGACCATAATCTGTTTTAATTTTTATTACTGGAATTATTTGCTTAAATTATATGATTTTTAAAATTATTATTTTAGCGACCATGATGGAATAAACGATGCCTCGCGCCGAGGTTACAGTTATTCGTTGCTATTTACCGTGACGTAGCTTTGCGGCGACGCATTTTCACGCCGGTCTGTTTATGACTCGTAAACGTAAAACCGAAACAGACTGCAAGCCAAGCCATCGGTGCGCACCCACGCTCCCCCGTCATGTGCCTTAGCCTCAACCTACACAAGTACCAGCATCAGCAATTGTCACAAAGCACAGGGTCAGAACAGCTCAGCAGCAAGTTCAGGGATGCGGAAACAGGAGACAAAAGCCAGCTCTGAAATGCAGGGGAAGACCACAGAATCGCTTTGTGTGTCACAATGTCCATCATTGTTAACACTCTTAAGTGGCCTTTCTGCAGTTAGATGTAAATCTCTCCACCCAGCATCATGGGCTGGTCCACCAACAGAACTACCCCAAGGCGTCTCTTTCAGAGAAGTGACGTGCATCTTCCCGAAATCGCAAGCGTTTACATGTATGCGCCGTCTTCCCTCAGCCTACATCCTTAAACCCAGAAGCGAAACTTTGTCCCCTTCAGCTGATTTTCACCTGTTGGCAGAGGTAGGGGGTCGTTCGTTCTTGTCTGGAAGTCGGGACAGGGGTATGTCCTTCCGTACAGCCTTGTCCTTTGCAACAGGTGTCGCGTCTTCTGCCTTGCGGGCGCAAAGGAGACTGCCTGAAGGCGACCTCTGTTCTGCCTCCTTACTTCCTGTCATGTGACCCCCACATACTCTGCCTTTTGCCCATCAGCAGATGCGCGCGGCGAGCAGACTGGGACACTCACCTCTCATCAGAGCTGGCTGATCTTCTGTTCTCCTTTCCTCGGCCCCCTGCGTCCAGCTCGCTCGGAGGGACATGGGCAGCACGGAACCCTCCAGCAACTTCCTACGTCTCGTGTCAGGTGAAAGAACGATGCACGTCTGGTTCCGCTGCCAACCCGGAGGGGCCCCTTCTGTACTTGCTACTTGCTTCCTCTGTGCTCTGTGATAACACACATTGCTGCTGGCTTTCCTTCAATGCTTTCACCCACTGGGGGATGGGGGGAGGCATTCTTACATATGTTGTGGTGGGGGGGGGGGTTACTTTAGGGGTAGGCTTCAACACAAAAGTCATAGCATAGAACGAGTAACAAAGAAAGACTTCGAAGCATTTCGGCTGCTGTTTCAAAACGGGGTTGTTTTTGCCTGTGCTTGTAGCCAGCAGTGGGGCAGCTACTTATCAAACGAAATCGAAATAGATTGCTGCCTCTTAAACAAATTTGTGCACTTAGGACCTGAAAGTCCTGAAGCAGAGTGTCAGACTCCCAGCGTATGGTCTGGACGTGAGTGTCCCTGCGGAGGGTCCGATCGAAAGAGCGTGAGGATTAGCTTCTCAGAGACGGGCTCAGTGCGACCTCAGTAATCTTATCTCCGAGCTAAACTTAACATCTTCTGCTTCCTGTGAGCTGGCAGGGCATGCAGTTTCCTACCAGTGAAATTGTGCAGTTTTCAGTTCCCTCTTCTTGCAGCACATGTCAAACTGCAAACCTGCGCCCTGTGCCTGGGGGGCACCTGAGGGAGGTTTGGGGAAGTGAACGCAGGGTACGTCCCGCAGCGGATGTTTTCTTGTTAGCGACGGCGAATCCGTCATTTCAGTGACCCTGGGAGATGTTGGTACTGTGGGGGTGAGCGCAGGCTTTCACACGTGGACTCGGTGAAAGAAGATAATCTCACTTCTCATGAACCTCAGAATGATGCAGAAGCTGGAAGGAGTGACGGTTAATGCGGTCATTCTTACGTTAAACAGCTTCTTCTCCAGTTTGAGAAAGTTTTAAAGCTGCCAATGTCAACTGGAGGAATTTTGATTAGGTACTGTTTCCAAGAGATGGCAGCAATGTCACAGAAGGCAGCGATGTCACAGAGGGCAGCGATGTCACAGAGGGCTCTGGTGGGAGGAACAGCCAAGGCCTTAGCAGGTACTTTTATACAAAGTGATGTATGGTTGAGGAAGTGAGGTCAGCCAGGTCATGATGCAATTGGGGATTAAAAGCCTTGTTCAATGGCTCTGTGGTGAAATCAGTCTGCCAAACGTGGGATTTGAACCAGCAACCCTCCAATCTCAGTCATTACTGCCTAATCCACTGAGCCGCACATCGCCCCCAGGTGCCCCGGGGTAGGTGCAGGTGTAGCCAATTAAGCTGGAAATTAAGCACACCCACTCACGTGAGGCAAGTAATTTAGACTGAGATAGCACAAGTACTGAATACTAGCTCTCAGGCTAGTAAAAAAAAAAGTCACATGAGCCGACATTTTTGATGGAGGCGCAGTGTCTGTGTGTGTGCAGATGGAGGCGCAGTGCCTGTGTGTGTGCAGATGGAGGCGCAGTGCCTGTGCGTGTGCAGATGGAGGCGCAGTGTCTGTGTGTGTGCAGGTGGAGGCGCAGTGTCTGTGTGTGTGCAGATGGAGGCGCAGTGTCTGTGCGTGTGCAGATGGAGGCGCAGTGTCTGTGTGTGTGCAGGTGGAGGCGCTGTGTGTGTGCAGGTGGAGGCGCAGTGCCTGTGTGTGTGCAGATGGAGGCGCAGTGTCTGTGCGTGTGCAGGTGGAGGCGCTGTGTGTGTGCGTGTGCAGGTGGAGGCGCAGTGTCTGTGTGTGTGCAGATGGAGGCGCAGTGCCTGTGTGTGTGCAGGTGGAGGCGCTGTGTGTGTGCGTGTGCAGGTGGAGGCGCAGTG